CATGTCATGTAAAGATAGATAAACAATAATTACTTCCGGTAAACGGTCACTTCTTACGGTCTTACGTTCAAACAAGATTATGAAATCTTTCAAAATACAATTAATTTTATATTCTAAAATTCCTAGAACAGTGCATCAATCTAAATATGAATATTCAATTAACTTTTGATAGATTATATGATCATTTTCATTAAAAATGATATATATTTAGTTTTCTTATTTCTTTTTAGTGGCGGATTCTTTTCAGCAGGGAGACGCCGTAACTGTCAGTCCTCCGCATTCTTCGCATTGTTGGTAAAATATTCAGTAGTTCTTCGCTATTTCATGTCAGTCCCTTTTTCCCTAGCGGTGTCAGTGCTTGAACTATAGTCGCAACATACTTTTGAAATCTACTGTACACATTGTCGAGCCTACGTGCTAATCTCGAACAACCATTTCGTAACTTGGATTATACCAAATATATAAATTATTAAGGTATTTCAAATGTGACCCTTCTTGCTGGAATAGTAATTCCTTTTCAGCATTCACATTTCCAGTTTGACAATTGCTGTATGTCACTATCCAGGTGGCAACAGACTTTACTCCGTGGAAGCCTCTCCCGGTTTTGCATGTTTTTCCTTTCAGTTTGGTGAACAATTTTACATTATAGAACGGTCATTTCTCTCAACTGAAATGACAACAATAGTCAATTCTTTCAACTGGTTACAACTGTCTCGACTGATTTCTTAATTTGCTGTCAATTTCCCTGTTCTTGGTTGGCTAAACCAAAGGACAATAATTCGGAAGATTAATGCAGAGATTGCTCGTCATTGGCGTTATATCTCTTCGGCCTGTTGAAATGACTTGCCGTATATTCCGACACCTATTTTTAGAGCACTGCAATCCCTCCCTCAATTTATACCCCTATTTATTTTCAGCTTACGCTCCTCAGCAGTTAATCATTTGCACACAGTGTGTAAATTGGGTTTGTTTGCAATAGTTCTTACGCTAGTTTATTTGTCATCATCGGGAACATAAATAACTCGGTGCATGTTTTTGATGAATTATTGTGCTCAGACAAAATTCCTCTGTTTCATCACATGTGATTCGGACTATCATTGTTATATTGCTTGCAAACGGTGCTGACTAGACCAGCTGTTTAATGAATTAAGCAGAACTGCAGCTATGATTTTCACATTGCAAACGGCACGAATGTAAACGTTTTATGTAATTTATTTCCTTCGTCAGGGAGACATGCTGAGAATGACATATATACATACATATTGCATACATGTTTACGGACATGGAGTTTCTGGGCTTGCTGCATGGAAACTTAGCAAACTGTCTTGGTAAAGTGTTCGAAACATCGGCTTCGAACTCTACCTGAATTCTAGAAGTTCCGAATCAGATTCCTGCGGCGGCAATCTTCGCGCTTACTATGATTTCCCTTGCGCAAAATGTTTTTCCGCAAGTTGGTTCAGGCGAGGATTGCTAAGTCGGTAGAGTTTTACTCAGAGCAGAGAAGCCCTGGGTGCGAAGCCGATCAGAGTCACTCGCCTTTCTTTCTTCCGAGATTAATAAACGGGTACTGATTTGATGAATTAGTGGAAAGGAAACAGGAGAGTTTAAAGTGTGTTGGTTAAATAGCTGCTGTTGACTCTGCCTCTAAAAGGAAAAACCCCTAGCTGATTACATGGAAGCGGAGATCTGCGTCCTAACCTTAAACCTTATGAAAACAAGTGTTCAAGAATTGGCTACATCATGAAAATGCAGCAGAGATCGACATTCCAATGGTCAAAAAGTTTCTTTTCCTTTGTTTAAATGATTTGAATGAGCTAAAGATAATTAGTAAAACAAATTCGCCCAGCAGTCATGAAATAAATCCCTTAGTTTCAGAACGTAGAACATAACACTGTGGTCGTACGAAAGCCATCAGCTGATCATGTTCGATGTTGTGCGTATAATTGAATTAATGTAAGATTCCATGGCTTATTGTAGTTTCACCGTGATCTTAGTTGCCTGGGGACGCTAATTATGCAGGGTACACCTGCAGTGTTAGATTCATCTCGTTCTTGAAGCCTTTATACCTCATTTAACATACTTCCGCATGCGAATATATTCTGATGTTAATGTGGTGACATACGACTGGTACCTGCTGAAACATCGTTTGTGTTAAGCGAAAAGTGACTAACGAACAAAACGATGCAAGATGTTTCTGTCACTGAAGGGTCTCAAATGTGACGGAGTCATAATCTGTCTAAATGGAACCCCTAGATGATGTAGTTCTCCGTGAAATGTGGTTTTCCGAGGATTTACGTTACATCTAATATATCTCGGTTTATGAGCATTTTTGATATTTTACAATATTATCACTTTTAATTTATGTCATCAGTATTTTGCAAATGTTTTATTTTCTTCATGTTTTGAACTCGACGAATCATTTCAGTCACGTTGAGCTTCATTCTGTAAGCCTTAAACAGTTTGCAATTTATCTCTTATGTGCTGTCATGCTTTTAATCAGCTGTATTAAAATATACTCATGACGTTGCATTGCTAAACGAATGATCGTTTTCAAGTTCAGTCGTCACCAACTGCTCATATAAAACTTGCTTTTCAGCTTAAGGATTTGTTACGCTAAAATGTATTCAAGATCAAAAGATGGGCAGGAAGTTTATGACTTTGTTGAACCGTCATCTACAACTTATATAAGTCGTTCGTCAGATGATGAATGACAACAACAGCAACAACAACTATATGACACGTAGGTAGCTGCTTATGTAAAGGATAACATTCATTGTTTTGAGCTCATTCATTATCTATTTCTTCGGTTTCTTCAGTGAATTTTAACGCCTTTGCAGCTCATCATTGGTCCCCTTAAGATGGAAGATTCTGCAAAAATGTGATTCCAGTAACCGTACAATTCTCTCTGAAAGTAAAATACAGGATTTTAATTGAGAACTTGTTGCTCTAGCTATTTGCAAAGTAAGCTACGGGAAAATTTGGTTATTTTCTGCAATTGCTATACGATGTAGATAGTACAGTCCGTTTTAAAAATAGTCTAATGAAACTGATCACCTGATTCAATATATTGTCAGTATCCTTACTTAATGGCCCGTGATCAGTTTTATTATATGCTGTGATTCCATAGTTTGAAAGAAACATTAAACAGCGTTCCTTGATTTCATACATAGTATCATAAACTTAATACAAACCGAAGTAAGTTCACCCTACTTCAGAAAGCGCAAAAGTTGCCTAGTCAAGTACCACAAAATTTACAGTTGACCAAACTCGGCAGTCCATCAGGAGTTGAAACAATCGCCTATGTTGCTAAGACTCAAATGTCGCAGAAACCATCCTGGTGAATTGTCCGTGATCTTATAGTATCCAGTATTGTCGTTCGACGTCAAGGACGAGTGGTGAAATGCGAAATAGAATTCGAAGCTGTTAGATATATTCTTAACGATTCGTTATTGATAACCGACCAAACTGGCGTCGAGCGTCCACTTGGCCGTAAAATATGGGCATCTTTAAACAGAAATAGCACGACCCTCGTCAGGATAGGACACCTGTTGTTCAGCAGTCATGCATACGACTGCAGCTGTTTGGATCAGGCAGTCGACAGCATTGCCAGTCAGTGTGTTAGTAAGCCAGAAAGTTGGCGAAACGCATGACAAGGCTACGCGAGCAGTTGGCCAGCTCTGCCTTTGACTGTCGATGTTACACATTTATACATGATCGCCAAAAAGAATGAGGTGGATGAGCTAATCTCGTTTGAGCAAAGATAGGCTGGACAGGATTCA